AGAGAGAGAGAGAGAGAGAGAGAGAGAGACACAGAGTGAGAGAGTGTGTGTGTTTGTCTCTCTCTCATTTCTCCAGGTCAGGTTGGAGGCGGCAGGTGGTCGGACCAGTGTGTGTGTGTGTGTCCGTGTGTGTCCGTGTGTGTGTGGATGTTCAGCGGATGTTCCTGCGCAGGTTTGTTCCCTGCACCGCGGTGAGTGAGGCTGCTCGGGTAGACTCGGGATGGCGCAGGAACCGGAGGGAGACAACCGGCTCCTGCAGGACGAGCTGGACAGAGCGGGGAACGGGACGTGCGCCGACTGCGGCAACCCAGGTATTCATCCGGCAGCTCATCCAGCACGACCACAGACAGCATCGGTGCATCCAGGAGCTCAGGGATGCACAGATGTGATGCACGCTGCTGGACACGATGAGGTGGGGACGTGAGCCAGGAGGGTGTCGGGGGGGGGGGGTATTCGGTCCAGATGTGGCACACATGTGTACCTGAACACAGCTGCCGGTAGAGTGAGGCCCGACTAACTTAGACTGGACTCTGGACTCAGTCTGAGCCATAAACACACGAGACACTCCTATGTGGATGTTATGGTGTGTGAGGGTGCACAAAGACGTGTGTGTGTGTGTGTGTGTGTGTTAAATTGGGGCTAGGGTGAGGCATCTAGTAGCGATGGTTGAGGTTAGGGTAAGGGGCAAGGGAACAGATTAAGCCGGTGACTGTCCTCATAAAATAGAATAGAATAGTACAAGAATGTGTGTGTGTGTGTGTGTGTGTGTGTGTGTGGTCGGTTATTATCATGTTCTACAATGTCAGCAACCACCACACAGTAATTATTGTGGTGTTTCTTCATTCCTTTATCTGTCTGTTGTTCTGGTGTCCGTGTTTGTCTTTCCTTGACAGATGTGACATATATCCGCTCAGCATAGGGCAGGACTTTCACCTGGGTTATCTTATTCCCCTCAGCGACACCTCAACCATATCTGTCTTCATTCCTTTATCTCTCTATCCTCCCTCCAATTCCTCCCTTTTGTACCCCCTCTCTCCCTCTCCATCCCTTCCACTCCTCTTGTTGAAATGGCATTAAACCAGTTGGTGGCCACTGAGGCTCCGGTGTGGGCCGCACGCCCAGTGCTTGGAGGCGAGCACGGCCCCAGGACGCCTGTTCCTTGGCCCTGGTTACTGCTCCACTGAGAACTGGCTGTGCAGCTTTTGGAGCCAGCAGCGCTTTCCACAAAAATTAGATAGCTTTGTCTGAGCCGTGGACGCTCGAGAGGGATTTCATCATGATGGCAGTTGAGAAATAAACAGGGGAGCGTCTCCCGGTGTGGTTGGTTCTATATGTGTGTGTGTTGAATCTAGCAGCTTTTAAATGTTTGACATTTTTACGCAATGTTTTTTTACATTAGTCCAGACTGGACAAACTAAACACCTTTTGAGTTTTTATGGCAATTGAAGCTACCACAGGTTCCTTTTCATGTTTGGAATGAGAGGCTGAGGTGAGGGGTGTTCAGCTGCAACATGCAACTTCAACACTCAATAACACTAAATTCTACACACTGTACCTTTAAATAACGCAGTTCAGCCTATAGCCAGTCTAAAGCTTTTACATACACTGGAAATGGATGGAAATGTCTGTGATTTGGTCCATCTTGTTTTTCCAGACTAAAACATCTCACCAGCTATTGGATGGATTGGCATCAAACCCACCCAGCCTTACTGGCATCTACACAGATGTTGTGTGTTATACAGTTGTGAAAAGAACATCTGGGAGATCATATGACAGTTCTTAAGTTCAGGAGCTGAGGCGCCAGATAAGCAGGTATTTGCACGGTGACTGATTCTGACTAGTGAAGAGCCTTTAGTTGAATGCAACATACTACTTTCCTCCTTATTTGCATTGTCGCTCACTGGGCTCACTTCAACCAAACCATCACTGTCATCTGCTACCAAACCAGGAATTCCCAGGCTCATGATTCGTCTCTCATAATGGTCAAGATATGAATTATTGATGCTGGTGTGGTGGCTCCAACCTCCGGTGGGGATGGGATCTTATCACGTCTGCTTTTTTGGAGAAACATCACAGTTTGATTGTGGCTCAACACCACAAATCAGCTCCATGCAGCAAAATGAAAAGACGAGAGTGAGAGATAAGGAGAAGGAAGAAGGAAGGTAGCAGTGGTAGCATTTTTGGACTTTAAAAAAAAAAAACTACCAAAATACATTAATGCCAATAAAAATATCTCACTGTGTATGAAGGTCTCACTAAAGGTTTGGAGTAAGTCTCGTCTTTTTCACACAAAAAAGACCAAAATAACAAAATAAATCTCTTCTTCATTGGCAAGGAGTGAAATCGTCAGTTCAGCTCATCATTATTTCATGATAGTATTTATGCAGAAAAAAAAAATCAACATAAATACAGGTTCAAGACAACAGCTGTGTGATCGTCCACACTGACATTTTAAAGTCTTCCTGACTTTGCAGCCTCACAGCTGGTTCCTCTGCAGAGTGGATAGCTCATTACACCACTGGTCAGCTTCCTGCTGCTCTCTGTAGTCACCTCTACTGTGTTGTTATACAACTGAATACACTATGAAGTTTTTTTACGTATTTTTTGGACCGAAACAGTAAAATATAATTGCCACGTAAGAAAAATGCCTACATGAATGTATTTGACCTGTATTCAACCCTCACTCTTCTGGCTCACATCACTGTTTTGTAAAAGCTCAGTTTCAACAACGAGCAAGTGTTTTAAAATGTATGCACTCTGTAGATCATTGTGTTTGGGCAAGAAAAACAGTTTGAGTCTGGATGGAGGACGGACAGGGTTAAATATTCACTGGTTTAAAGTTGATAATTTAATTTTTGTTATGACTTGAAAAGATTAACATTCTCGAATGGTCAAAAAACACATTACTTACTGTCCATTGCTGCAGCTCCTCTTTTCAGTCTCTGTCTGAAACACTTGCTTGTAGCTTCTGTCTCCCGATAAAGCCCAGTGTGTTCTGATTGGCCAGCTGGCCCACTGTGTTGTGATTGGTCAACCACTTCCAGCGCATGTAAGAAATTCGTCCACTCCTGCTTTACTTGGCTTTAGGAGTGTGCTGCTAAGATTAACCGCTTGTCGTGCATTATGCGAATGTGGGGCGTCATGTCATGTAACTATGATGCAGCAGTATTGGTCGAACTACTGATGAGGCGTTCCAGGGGCGGGGTTATGGGCTTTTTAACTTTGGAGACTTTTTGTGTACTAAAAAAACTAACATACACATGATATGTCTCCGATAATGCTAACCTACAGTACTCATAGCAGTAATGAAGATTCTAGACGACAATATTATTGGTTTGCTTTTGCTAACAAGATGACATGATCGAGGCAAAAACCAAAAATACTGAACCGATTTTCTTGAAACTTAGTAGAGGGTGGGATATGGCCCAAGGAAGAACCCATTAACTTTTGGAGTGGATTCGATTGAAGGGGAGGATTCAACACTTAAGTCGGAGACATTGTGAGATTTTCAACAATTTTGTTAATTTCTCAAGAAATGATGCAGAGATCATACACGCAGTAGGTAGCGATACATAAATCTAAAGTGAGACACATTAACACATTTGCAGACAATCACAACGGCAGGAAACCAGAGAAAGATGGGGAGGAAAACACAAGGCAACAAGCAGGACAGAACCAAATAAAGTCAAAGACTGGAAAACAAGTCTGAAGAGTAAATGCAGAAATGAATCCTAAAATAAACCAAAAGTCTTTCAAAATTTCTTCAAGTCCTTGGCCCGGGGCAGAATTGATACACTTGTAGTTCTAAAAGCAATGGATTGCAGATGACCTCCAGTGTGGCTGCTGCATCACAGCACATGAAATCCCCTTATTCACTGTGAATGTGGAGGTTAAGACAGAATATCTCATCAGCAGCAAGTGACTCGGCTGTCCACCCTCACCCCTGTTATATCTTACCAGGATACAACCTCCATTGAGCAGACAGGGAGCCTGCAGGAATTAGTCTGAAAACACACACAATGTGGCAACACTGCTTGTGCACTTTTTTATGCTTAGTCATTCTCTCTCTGCCCTTCTTACCTTTGCTCTTTGTGGGTTTGTGCCTCCCATCTTCTCTCTGTGCTCAGATGAAGCAGCTGAGAGGCTGAGCTGGGGGCTTATACGGCAGGTTTCTCTGTAGCTCAGCAGCGCTGCGGCTCTGCCCTTCGCTAAGGAAACACAAACGATTAATTCCCTCCGGAGAGAAGCCTCAGCAGTCCTCAGAGCGGTGAGGAAGGTGTTTGTCGAACAGCAGAAAACAGCAGTAACTCTGATGAGATAGGAGGGGGGTCAGGATATTATGGTTGTTTGCTTATTACTCTCCTGAAATCATTATTTTCTTTTTTGTCTTTTTTTAGTTCAAGAAAGCTGGTGACAATAATCAATATTTCACCTTTCACATTGTAACTTCCTCTTATTCTCACTGAAACAGTATCTACAAGGGTCATGGGTCTATTCATAGGTGGTATATAAAGACAGACAGTGTATCTCCACTTCCACCTATGAACCAGAACTGAAGCTGAATGATTCCAGATATGAATTTTTATATATTTTTTTTCCAGCCAATTTTTATCGCATCAAATAACCAATTAAAACCAAACGTACTGAAAAATGAATCACTTGAACATGCATAACTGTGGTGAGATGATTTGATTTGACGTGTATTTTTAAACTTTTTAGTTTGGTCCATGTCCTGATCTGCTAAAATGGAGGAGGTGGGACTTATAATCTCCATTTATAACCTATGCTGCAGCCAGCTACCACTTTTGGGGAGCAATCATGTCATGCATCTTTACAGTCTTTATGCAACAAGCATGTCACCATTTCTTAGAGCATTTTGGGAATTTATATATATCCATTGGCCCCTATCGGTTGTCTCAACATTATACAGTTTTACAAGAAAAGTCTTCTGAACAAGGGTTCTGAACAAATCCGTCCTTAACTGACACATCATCATTAAATCTTTGTTTAAATCATAGCTGAAAGAGAAGGATGGGGTGTTGGAGGAAAGATTGTAAACAGTATTGGCACCAAGGTCTTGACGGGAGGTAAATCATCAGCCGGTAGCCAAGCAGCTCATGGACGAGCCAGTGATGATGAAGCATTAATGATGCAGCTGATTATGTTAGGTTTGCTAATGCAATGCTCCACTCAAGTGGACCACAATCTCGTCGGAAAATTTTGTGTGTGTGATTCTTTGCTGTTGTACATTCAAAGACATATTGTGAGAAGCGTTAGTGTGGATCTGTTGGCTGTAGAGCTGACTCCATGGTGGAAGTAGTCTTTGCATTTTCTGAATATGTATGAACAAGCATGAACAAAACGACATATACAATCCTTATATTGCTTTATGTGGACTATTTATCCATGATCTGAATTTTGATTATTTAGTATCTCATGGGACATTATAGGAAAGGGATTCATATTTGAATGCGATCAATAAACTGTGCTGTTGGATTCTGGTGGGTATAAATATCAGAAGGGTTTTGTTTATGATAATTTAGATTTGTTTCAGTGATGACGTGAGGAAGAGGTCATGCAAATAAAAGTGATTCATTCGTTCAAAAAAACCAACCTCTGAGAATGTGCTTTTTAGAAGTTATTCCTTCTTGATGATTTTCTTATAAAAAGCCCCAGGAAGTTTTTTAAAATTTCATAAAAATCACATCAGTTCAAGCTTTTGTGAAAGTTCAGTCATATCTGCAGGAGGTACTGCTGTACAAGTGAAACTGTGCTTGTTGCCTGAGGGGTTTATCTGAGACATGAGAGGGTCACAACCTCAGCTCGACCCGCTGTTTTGCCATTAACCTCCACCATGACACAGCCCTTGACAGACTGACGTGTGTTTGACCAGACATACGAGTGAACTCATGCAGATGCAGAAAAAGTGCCTGCAAAGTGCTCACGGGCGCTTGGGCACAGGGGCTGCTATTGTATAAATACCCCGTCGTTCATTTATCCTGCCTCTGCCCTGCAGGATCGCCACAGGCTCTTCTTTCTTCAACCTTGAGCGGCTGAATCAGCTGCTCTGTTGTCTGTCAACCCCAGCGAGCTCTGCAACTTCACTTTGTGCACAACAATTCTTTAGTGATGGAAGCTCTTTAGCAAACAGCATATGTTCTGTGGCAAGAAAAAAAACAAATAGTCACACTACATCAGGAGTTTTCCACCTCCTGTTCGCTACGACTGTGCATCTGTTGTTCACAGTGATCCTGTGAAGAAACATCTTCTATGTGCAGTACATTTAAAAGGAGGAAGACCTGTGTGTTTATGTGTGCACGTCTGTGTGTGTGTTTGTGTGTGTGTGTGGTTAGTCAGTCATGCAGCCACTGTAATCTCCATGAGTGCTTCGTCTCAGTAAGGCCTGACTCAGACGGCGATGAGCTCACCGCTGAATGGCTGGTTGTGCGTTATGGTGACAGCAGTGTGTGCGTTTTCCTCGATCACGTCATCTGTGTGCATCGTTGTTGGTGGTGAAAATGAGACATAGCTGATATTAAAAGGACAAAGTCTGATTTCTTCACATCTCCAGTGCTTTTTGTGTGATTAAAAAACATCCTAGTTGTCACGGGTTAGAAGGGCAGTGCAGTATTGGGCACATGTTGAAGGTAAAAAAATCAGACATCTTAAAAATAAAGTTGTAAAGTCGTAATTTTATGAGAATAAAGTTCTGGAGTAAATTTAATGAACAAAATGGACATAAAGTTACGACTTATTATAACGATAAAGAGGATTGCATTGCATCGCATCGCCCACTCCCAACATTTCCTACAGAAGAGGCAATTTCCTTCAAGACCTTGTGGTTCTTTCTTCAGAACAGACAGTTCTCATGATGTTCTTATGATAATGTGGTGCTGATGTGCCAAAAATAAAAAAATCTTCTTATTTGTGAGACCTATACTTAGGTATAATTTAACAAGCTACATCAATTTTTGCAGGCAACAGGCTGATCTTATAATATTCCTCTTGTAGAAGGACACAATATTTTTACTTTATTCTCATTTTATGACTCAGTTTTTTCTCGAATCTCGGAATTTCTTTCTCTTGTACTTGGTCCTAATACTCTGTTGTACCAAAGACAAATCAAAGGGAGATTATTGTCAATGCCAGATAACACCCCTGGCGATGTTGTGAGCTCTCATCATCTCTCTGCAACATAAAGAACCTGAGCACCCCCCCCCCCCCGCTGATCCCCATTCAGGCTCTGTGGCACCTCCTGTCTTCAGCCTCAGGAGGACGTAAATGCTGGAATAGTATGTTTTGCCCTTTTCTACCCTTCTCTCTACTGTAGCTCTTATATGACTCCTTTGGGAGTTACACACTCAGTGTATGTGTGTGTGCATGCATGTGTGTCTGTGGTGCAGCAGGCTGAGGATCTCCTCGTGAGAGGAATGGCAGCGGCAGAGAGATTATGAGATGGAGGGAGAATGTGGCGGCTTCTGAGTGTTGCCTGATAGGACATGCTTCTCTTAGCGCCTCGTGGCTCTTGTGAATTTATGATGCTCATTTGAGGAGCATTTTATTCCCCGAATGTAAAACGCTGAGTGCACAGCACGTGGTGGCCATTCTTAAAAGACCACATTAAAGGGAGTCTTATCGGAAATATCTACAGTGTTGGCATCTCGTGAAGGACATGTTTATACAACAAAAGCAAACTAAGAAGAATTCTGGCTCAAGCGATTGTTCAAGTCAGACGAAGGAAAATTAATTGGCAATAGATCTGATGAGCAATTAGCAATTTATTTAGCATCAAGGCTAAGAGTCTACAAGAATGTGAGCAGCTGTGATGCTGTAAGCTGAGTGGTATTTTGAATATGCTGATAGCTAATTAACAATAATCTCAATTCAGGGGCTTCGTCCTTTGGAGGACTCAGTCGACTTGGTCTACGAAGAACACGTCTATGGTCACGTCTTCAGTCATGCTATCATAGTCTATGAAGGCTAAACCGAAACTGTGGAGTCTGTGGAGGATTTAGTATTTTCTAGCTTGTCCTGCCTTTATCGTTGCATCAATAACTACTTTGAGCTGCTACACTAACTGCAGCTTGGCCGTCAGTCAGCTTGTTAGCTCTGCAATGAATCCTGGGATAGTTTGTTTAGAGTAGGGTATGGAATTATGCATTTAAAAGAGCTTTCAAAATGGGACAGTGTAGTCCCACTGCTGCGATGCCATTGAACATTGTCTTTGATACAAAGGTTCGGTACACATGGTACAGTCCAAGTGATAGCAGAGGTATGAAAAAGGTCTTAAATACCTCCTTAGCTAATATAAGAGAACAGCTAACATTGGTCTTCAAGTGCCGTGAATTTGAACATGACTAAAGGATGTTATTAGTTTTACAGGTAATTGGTCAGATACCAAACCAAAGTGTAAAATAAAATGAAATGTTGCCCTGATGATGGCACTAGAGGAAAAGTTAAGGATTAGTTCTTATAGTTCATCCTCTGGGGGACATGAATGTGTGTTGCAGTTTTTCTACAATCAAACAGTTGTCAGGACATTTCACTGACAAACTAATGGTGAAGTTCAAAGTGAGATTCAGTCTTTGTGATCCATCCATCATAGTCGTGTTCTCTCTCAGTTTGAAATCGTACTTTTTGGATTGTTGATTAGATAAAACTTAGGGCATTGGGATATCATGATTTCTGATATTTTATAGGAGATTATTTACTCAATCAAAAATGTATTATTTATTTGAATAAATAATGGAATCAGAACCCAGCATTACCAATATTATAAACATGAAGATATATTTACATTGATAGTTTATATTTATTTACTTCATCAGGTGGCATATGTAAAGTTGATGAATATGATAATTATTTATTTGGTTAACCGGTAATTTTCATTAACCATAAATTTCCCAGAAGGCAAACACATTGAAGCCCATTAAAGTCAACAATTTTACATTCTGAAGTAATTTCCTAATGAAAGCACAGACAAATATACTTTTAGTAACTGGAACAACTAAATGTTTCCAGTTTGTCTTGATACATGACTGAAAATAACTGAAGACATCGACAATATATCTCAGACAAATTTATCTTTTACTTTCATTATGACCAGGATTGAATGTCTTTTATTTTCAGTAACGTCTACTGTAACAATGTGGTCATACCAAGCTTTCATTTTTCAGTACAAGCTGTGCCTTGTGTGTGACTCTCTCTCTCTCTCTCTCAAACCACAAGCCGTCTTTCTCTCTCTGGCAGCACCAGGCAGCGTCTCTGACTTTGACGACTTCATTTGCACGGACAGAATCAAAGTCTTGGTGTGAAGCGGTGACTCAGACGTACCTTTGCTGAACACCCGCTGCTGCTGCCTCTGTGTCACGATGCAGAGAGCCCCCTCACCCCAGTCCCCCCCACCACCCCCATTCTCTGCACATTCACTCTGACTGCTGATGAGCCCGTTCGTTTTATAGAACTGTCCTCAAAATGTGTATTTAGTCACGTGATCATATTGGCAATAAGCAGAATGTAGTCTGTAAGTCAGGTTATTCCAAACGCTGTGCGTGTGTGTGTGTGTGTTTTTCCTTTGAGCATTTAAAAGCATAAAGGGATGTGTGTTTGTCATTGACAGAAAATAGCACTGCATTTGTGTGTGTATACCACAACATTTGTTTGCATTTGCATCTCCATAAACATGTGAGTGTAAGCATGTTTATTTGGCTCTGTTTTTTCATTTGGTTGTGTGCTTATGTTTGTGTGTTTGCCAGGACATTTGTTTGCATTTACATACAAATGTCAGTGGAGGCATACGATTTGCCTCCTTTCTGTGTGTGAGTGTGTGTGCGTATGTGTGATGATGTTATCACAATGTATTTAGCAGACTGCTGATGTAACTAACCTAATAACTATCTTGGCTGACTTCTGATCAGATCTTAGGCAGTCTGTTTCCTGTCAGTACGCTAAACAGGATTTCCCCAAAATCATATTTTGCTTCGCTGCTCTCCTTTATGAGCAGCGACACACTCGACCAGGGTCCTTTGTAACATTTGCTTCATTTGCTTTGTTCCTATTACTTAACAGAGCCAGCATCAGCCCTTTCAGTATTTATAGCATGAACCTTGAGCTGCTGTTCTCGTTGTTGCGGCGCCTTTATGACAAGACTCCTCTTTTATTGCTCCTGTGTTTCTCTCTATCATCCCCTTGTACAGTTTTACCCAATCTCATTTCCTCCCCCCTCTCTCTCCCGCAGAGCCGGACTGGGCGTCGCTGACGTTGGGCGTGTTTGTTTGCCAGGCCTGCTCGCTCCTTCACCGAAGCATCCCCCACATAACCCGCGTAAAGTCTGTCCAGGACACGTGGGAGGCCAGCGAGGTGGAGGTAGGGCAGCAGTGGCAAACATAGAGCATATTGCAAAGTCCAAACTTAATATAGAATAAATGTCAACAACATGTAACCCTCACTTCCCCATCTCAATGTGATACTTGACTGATAACATGTTACCCACCGGATTCTAACAATGGAATGGATGTAACAAAATGTGAAGCCTTATGCAAGAACATTTCTCTATCCCATTCTTGTGAACGCAATATCTCAAGAACGCTTTGATGGAATTTCAAGGTGGCCTCATAAAATGTTTATATTTTTCTTGAATGTGATATCTTAAGATAAGATTGACGGATTGTCTTCAAATTCGGTACAAACAAGGTCACTGTGACCTGAAAAAAGCAAATTATTTGCCTTGTAAAAACTAAATTTCCAGAACACCTTAAAGGGATTTCCTTAAATTTGGCAGCAATATTTTTTTGTGTTCCAGCGCCTCATGACATCTTAAATTCTGGTGATCTTCATCCAACCCTGACCTCTGATGTCTGAGTGCGTTTCCTCACAGGGATCAATAAAGTATAATTCCATTCGTGAGACTGTATAACCTTTCTCCTGGGTGTCAGAAGAAGCTGGGCTGTTCTGTGCCCTGCACACAGTCAGAGATATGTACGAGAGCAATATTGACTTCGGTGCACAATTGTAAACACAGAAATGCATATTTTGACGTCAGTGAGTTGAAGCTGATTAAAATGTTTGGCTCTGCAGGGGAAAGTGTGAGGTGGTCCTTTGAATGTATCATGTCAGAACCAAAACACCACGTGAGGGACAAAAACGACTTTAGGGAGGCGATGCTGATGTGAGTTATGAGGAAAACCAGGAGGTTGGAGATGTGGGAGGACAATTAATGGGAGGTGATGATGGATTTGACTTAAGAGATTGGGAATGTCTATGAAGAAAAATGCAACAATAATACAATGCACAAGAAATGCAAATATTAACTACTAAATAAACTTAAAACTTTTCATCAGCTTGTAAGTTTCCATTAGTAGTTTTTATCCCGGAGCACCTCAGAACTTTAAGACATGAGTTATGACTTGAAGAGGTGATACATGAAGTTCATTCAGCTCATTAAATTAAGGTTATTTTAAAAATATACTGTACTTCCCAATGATAAAAGCAACATTTGCCACAATTAACACATTTTATTTTTTGATTGAAATAATGTAATGTTGTTAAGTTGACAGAAATATTTTGCTCTGTAAAAACACAAATGGAGGCAAGAGAATTAGATGAGTGGATGAAAAGATTTGAGTTGCATCGGGAGACGGTTAATTTTGAGATGCCAGTATATTGATGAGACTTTTGGAACTGCTGAAGTCCCATTCCAATAAAACATTCTAATGAGCCACGTTTGTCAAACAGTCACAATAGTATTCACTTAATTAGCCAAACCTTGCTAATATGACTGTCACATCTTTAAGACTTTACCACAAATTCGTGATGACTCAATCGGTTTCTGCAGATATTCTAGCTCCCTCTCATACCGAAAGACTCTGGTGTTTGAGGACTGATTGTAAAGTCATGTCCAATTTTGAGAACATCAGATAAGCATTTTCATTTTTCATTTCTGAAATAGGGATTTACAGCTTGAGTAAGTGTTACAGGTAGATGATCTTCAACATGAGGTGAAGGAGAACAATTGAAAAGAGCAGACTGGAGAAGTTAACACTCTACAGCAAAATGTTTCCTATTAATAATACGAACATTTTTAGGGTCATATTTATTCAAAAATCTAAATGTCACATGCTAAATTCTCACATCTAGAGGAAATCTGGAACGTCAGTGAGGACTATGAGTGAACAATTTCAGAAAATCAGGGATTTGCTTGTTTGTGCACGTACAATAATCGCTTTCATTGTTTTCAACTTGTGCTAGGAACATGCACACATTATAGCCACTCCTTACTGGGTGTAATAATAAAAACCCCAGTGACATACACATGAATGATGGCGCTTGACTAAATGCCACACTCGAAGCTTCAAAACAGCAATTTACAAACCTATGTCTGACAGTATTTTACCTAGGGTTTTTCAAAATAAAATACCTTAAAGGTTGTTCGTTGAATCTGCCAGTAGCTGTATAAAACATGATCTGGCTTGCCTTTGACTCTCGACATGGGAAAGTGTTGGAAACTAGTGAATTTTCTTTTGTCTGTTCAGATTACCAGGGTGTGTTGTCCTGTCTTTCTTTCAGTTAATGGCTGCTATGGGAAACAATGCAGCCAAGGCCAAATATGAGCAGAAGGTTCCTGCTTTCTACTACAGACCAACACACACTGACTGCAAGTGAGTGCTCTTTCTTTCGTCACATTCGAAACGCAAACACTGGTGGTGCAACCGTGTATGTTCGAAGGATTTTTACTCTGCAGTCTTAAAAGAGAATATTCTTGCAAGTGGAATTAGTTTCTACTTGATGCTATCAGATAACAGTTTGCTCAGGCTAACCGAGTCAACCTGTTTTACTACTCGTGTTTTGGAGTACAGAATAGTTAAAGACGAAATCTTTTATACAAATCTATTACATGACAATATCCTCTTTAAAACTTTCCCCATTGTCCCACGTTCACTGAATATGTTGTACTTTAGCTGAACTGTTATGAACCATCATGGTACAAGCATCACTTAAATGTCACTTTGTGTGTCAATGTATAATATAACCTTTATTGACCAAAATATCAGAGGTGACTTGCAAGTTCGCTCATGTTTTGACTACTGTTATAGAAATGGCAAAAAGATTTGGAGTGATCCCAGCTGCAGAGCTGATTTGACCCCAGAGCTTTCACAACTTCAGATCCAGACCCCCAAAACAGACTTGGGCCGTTGTTCTATGGCACAACAGGCTAATGCTGGCCCAGATCCAGTTCCAGTATTGGTGCCAGGTCTGGGCCAGCTCCAGACTGGATGTACTTTATCTCTGGTCTGGAGTTGGTCCATGACTGGATTCATGCAAGAATTGGCCCACAAGCAGCATTCAGCACTGATATGGATTTTGTAAATGTTCAATATTACTGTAGTACGGAATACAAATTTGAATATCAAATGTCTTGTTTTCTGAAGCCACTAATATTCAAATGCTATGAGTAACTATACATGTGCAAAATGAGCAGTCTTAGTTTTTCTGTATCTATAGAAAAACAATTTTAAAGCTGCCATGTGCCTCCAGAGAAAAGAGAAGTCTCTCTCTGTGCCTGCGTCTAAGCCATGGTGTCAGGTTGTGTTCGCACACTCCACTCCCCCGAGAACCAGATAGTTTAGTGTTTAAGACCCAGTGACACTATAAGGTGCCATTCAAACAGATACTAAGAGGAAAACATTTGACACTCTTGGTGCAGCCAGAACAGCCGATTCATTTCTAATAGGTGCCAATAAAAGAGAAGTGTGTGGAGAGAGAGAGAAAGGATGAAAAGCAGCACAGAGCCTGAAGGGGAGACTGAAAGGTTGGAAGAGGCAGCGAAGTGGCGATGGTGAGAGAGACTGTTGGCATGGTGATGTGCTGACTGTTGCCATTTGTTTCTCCGCACACCGAAAAGGACGAGGCTCTAAAAAAGAGATTGCTTCCTCTGTATGCAGCTTTGGAAACTGCAGGGAAGCAAAGGCGCTGATCACAATTTGACACTGAAGCCTTTGTGCTGCAGTGTGATACAAATCTGTGAGTTGTAACAAACCTAAATCAACTTCAGGGACGATGTTTCTTCTGCTTGCCGGCCTGTCCTTCCACGTTCCAAGTGTTTTATCCAACTTACTAAGGACTAGCTTGTCACTGTGTGCAGGTTGGGGCAGTCGGTGGGTGTGTAACTGAAATAAAATCTAACTGTGTGTGTTATCATTTCTTCAGGCTGTTGAGAGAGCAGTGGATCCGAGCCAAGTACGAAAGGAATGAGTTTGAGTTCATCGAGAAACAGGAACCTTATTCTGCAGGTTTGTTCTGTTATGCTTGTCACATCAGTTTTACTCTTTCCTCAACACTGACCCTTTGCACCGTCCAAGCAGATAATGTCCCAAAACTGTGTTGTGATATGTCTTACTCCTCTGTGCCATAGAACCTTGTTCTCATTCAGAATCAAAACTGTGAAAGTTGACCTCAAGTTAGTCCAACACATTGTCCTAGTACACTATTCCACATACTCGGTAGAGCGCATAACTCCGCCGAGGCCAACAGTCCCCTTATAGTCAACCAAGCTGCATCAAATTACACACAGCCATAGGTATCACTTTCCTTGATATAATTGACATCTTTCATCAAGATCATTAAATTATTTCCTGGGAAATTGGTGAAAATGTCAAAACAAATCTCACAATGTTAAAGAAAGTAAAAACACATTTATGGATCCTCCCCTTTGTCAGGACCTTCAGTGTTCAGATGATTCACATGCCTCGTTTTTCTGCTTCTCCTTATTCACTGCCACAGATTACCTCGGTTTTGTTTGTCCTCTGCGCTTATGGCATTCTATCGTTTTGTGTGTGTGTGTGTGTGTGTGTGTGTGTGTTTCTGACATGAAACATTCACCTACAGTGGCATTACCTCATCGATCAATAGCCCTGCTTGTCCCCACCCCTCGCCTCCTTCCCTCACAGTCTTTTCCTTCCTCCTATTCCCTCGCATACTCAATCAATGTTCACTGTGACCACTGTGGAGGCCAGCTTACTGCCAATAGTCAGTCTCAGCCGCCCACACACACACACACACACACACACACACACACAGACACACACACACACACACACACACACACACACACACATAAACTGTAAGCAGATGTAATGCACATCACAATGAGTTATGTAGAGAGTATAAATGTACAAACAGGAATGACACAATGACTTACATCATCTACGTGTGTGTGTATGTGTGTGTGTCCTCTGTAACAATAAACGAGTGAGGTCACCACAAACCAATCAGCATACTCCATCTTCAATATCATGTGAAATGTATACTGGAAGATATGCTCAACCCAACACACACACACACACACACACACAAACACACTCTTAATTGACGCCATCATTGACATGATTCATTCGCCCCTCAACCATCCAAACTAAATGCCCAACCCTAACCTAATCATAATTGTAACCCTAAAACCAAGTCTTAAGCCTTGAACATTGAAAAGGTGAAGCCTGGTTTAAAATGTGCTCACTCTGTAGGGTCTATGCAGGAACACCCACACACAGGCAGTTCTTTTTTCTTTCAGTGACAATTACAGTGTCACTGCTTGAAAATGCTTTTATGCTTCTTAAATGCAAACCTACACACAGCCACTTATGAGAGAATGGATGTAAATGAATGTATAAAAGTCAGCAATGGATGTTTCGGGTAATTGAGTTCTGCTGACGGACTCCACAGGGACGTGTTGGCCCAAGGAGCTTTTAAGGTTCTGCTCATCGAGGGGTAAACAACATGACAACACAACGACCACTTCGATTTCATTTTAGAAAAAAAAGTGCTTGTACTTGCACGTTTGTATTCTTAGCACTCTATCGTGCTGTCAGGGTGATCACATCTGCTGTGAAAATTCAGTTGTTTCCAGTTGCAGCTTGTGATATAAGAAGACTCCAGGAGTAGTAGGAAGTAACACCATCTTATCTTGGTGTTATTTGGAGCCTCACTTTTCACAACACTAATAACAAATACACTAATAATATATTACACTGTAGTGTATGAGGAATTATAGGAAACTGTGAAATGAAAACACTGCCATGCTTTGGCAATGGTGGTAACTGATTAGATTTTGATGGTCAAACGTTAAGGTGGCTGTGTGAAAAACACATTTTTAATCACAACAGCTCAGAAACACCTTGATGGAATTTCTTTATATTTGGTGCAAATGTTCACTTGAGAGAAGATGAAGATAAACTGAATATATTTTGTATAAATGTGGTTTTAGGAGGTGATTGTTGGGCCTTGGTGAAGAATATCCCATTCTAGTTTCTGTAATCTGTAATTTGGGTGAACAACAATAACATCCTCTCCAAATCTTCCCTCTGCCATCTGTTACACTCATCTACACAAGCATTTAACCACATTAGCCTCCTTTTTTACATCCCATATTCTCCATTTCCAGTCCTGGAATTAAAGTTTATTCAACAATTAAAGTGCACATTACACAACACTCAGCATCGAACTACCGGCTTGAATGTAAATGAGTCCCTTCTTTGGTTGTACCAGTTGATCGCTGATGTGCATCGAGCTACAGAAATAGATCTAGATTAGAAAGAATACACTTCACAGTGAGACGGAAATAGAGGAGAAAAGTGACAGAGGCAGAGTGTTTTACATAGCAGGCTATAAATGCTGCAGCATATCATTAACATGGAAACGGATGTTCTTTGGTACCGAGACAACGAAAATCTCTTTGAATGTGCTGCCTCGTGCTGACCCCCCTCCCCCTCCCCCTGCTCCGCTTCCCCCTCTTGTCCGTTTGTTTCTTGGATATTGAGCTGCGTTCCCTCACTCGCACACACTGTCTCCATTTTCCTCCCATCACTTCTAAACTAGATCTGAAATTATCTTTAATTTCAGGGCAAATGAAGAATAATCTCACACCAATAACATCACTGTTGGTAACGTCTCCTATGTCTTATCTCTTTTGTCTTGTTTCGATACCATCTCCTCAACCTCTACACTCCCCCCCCTCTCTGCTCAGGGTACCGAGAGGGGTTTCTATGGAAACGAGGAAGAGACAACGGTCAGTTTCTCAGCCGAAAGTTCATCCTGTCAGAAAGGGAGGGAGCGCTGAAGTACTTCAACAAGCAGGATGTGAGCGCAATGACACAGCCGATTTTAAGTGTTGTGTTTTTACAGTGGCAGGATTTCATTTGGCACTTTAACGATTAACTGTTTGTCGTCCGTGCGCCACCTCTGTCAAGGCCAGGGATCCCAAGGCGGTGATGAAAATCGAGACGCTCAACGCCACCTTTCAGCCGGCCAAGATCGGCAACCCCTGCGGCCTGCAGATCACCTACCTGAAAGACAACAGCACAAGGAACATCTTTGTCTACCACAGTGATGCTAAGGTGTATTCTCACACTGCTATTTATACACACAATCACATACACTCACTTACAGTAGCAATATGTACAAGTCTTTGAATACACTAATACATGGTGCTAATACAGGGATGGTAGTATAATATGCATGCTGTCAGCTTTACTAAAACCTCCTTTAATAATTAATCTCCTTTTGGCTTTTTCCAACTAGAATCACTGACTTCATTAGCTACAGCGCAGTCAGAAAATATCTATAACAGTGTTTTTCAGTGGATCTTTGGCAAGAAGAAGGGAACTGAGTCATGTGAGCTGCTTGAGCTGTTCCTTTTATATTTGTGCCCAAATTTTGCTGACCTAAGGCCAAATGCAAATATGGCATCACCTAATGAAATGTTGACAATCACCATAGTTGACATCAGGTCTAACAATACAGGTTATTCAGTGCTTAACCAAACGTGCAAGAAGAAATCAGTGGGATGTCAAGGTTTAATCCCAATGTCATTATCTTCATGGTCAGAATGGCCACCAAAGCCACTGGGAGGAATTTCCAATATATCTGCTTGTTTAACTGAATTGCTGTGCTACGACTTAAAATAGTATAAAGGTTAGATCACTTAAAGGTTAGGTCATTTATGTGCAGTAAAGGTTCAGGCTGTAAGAGTTAGGTGAAAGGGATCTGTTGGCAGAAATTGAATATACAATAATCCTAGTGGTGTTTTCACTAGTGTTTCATTTAAATTGTACAAATTGTTGTTTTCTTTACCATAGAATTGGCTCTTTATATTGAAATACTTTATATTTGCATCGGGAGCGGATCCTCTCTATGGAGGCCGCCATGTTTTTTACAGTAGCCCAGACTGGACAAACTAAACACCTTTTGAGTTTTTATTACAACTGAAGGCTACCTCAGGTTCTTGTTAATGTTTGGAAGGGGAGAGTGAGGTGAGGGGTGTTCAGCTGCAATATGTAACTTCACCACTGTAGCCACTAAATTCTACACACTGAACCTTTAAGTAGCACCAGATGACTTAATCCTTTCCTAGGAACCATCCTGAAATATTACAAATCAGCTCCTTTCTGGGGAATAAACAAAAACTAATTAAACCTCATTCTCTATTCTAACCTTTCTTAATACTCCTCCTGTGAACTGGTGTGTGTGTGTTCATGTGTGTGCCTTATGTCTCGCTGAGGGTTTTATAGTGACGGGTACACAAATCATTGCCTCACATTAAGTTTAAATGTCTGGGATGTACTGTGTGACTAAAATAGAGAAAGAGACCGAGGTGGAGGAAGGGGGTTCATGATGATGTCGTGGTGGGGCAGGGTGTTGCATAGTTAATCAAAAGAGATGAAAGAGAAGAAGGAGACAGATATTAATGTACAGAAGAGTGAGATCAAGTGCTGCGCCCTCTGCTGGTCAAAGTCTGCTATATAATTGAGTTCATCGGGTTCATCCAGTGTCACAGTCGCTCCCTCTCTCTCTCTCTGTTATCGACAGGGCTGCAGCATCCACACACACACACACACACACACACACACGCACACTGTTGATGACACCTACTGCATAGAAAAGATACCTGCACTTACATCAGAGGAAAAATGTAATTCTTCACATTCTTATATATTCATTCACTCAACCTTTATTTTACCCGGGAATACAATGAGGTAGGGACCTCATTTACAATATAGAGTATAGACAACAAACAAAACATTCTGAGACCACAAGAGAAAATGGAGGTAAAAATGGTGAAATGAAAAACTTCAATTTCTCTCTGGATAAAATTAGAGCTTTAGATTGTTCTCCATGTTGTTCCATGTTGCATGTGCATGATGAGTAAATGGATTTACTGTGCTCAGTAGAAACAGCTGGTACCTGCAGTGTAATCCAGATATTTGAGCTCACATTAAAAGAGAGGGCGGGCCATCCAACCTTGGCATTTAACTCACAATCAGTAATGAGTCTTAAAGCTGAGGGAAAAACAGTGTTCAACAGATTCAGGGTTGCAGCTGAAGCATGCATGTTTAAAATGTCACCATCACCTACAGCAGACAGGAAAGTGTCCTCAATAAGAATGTTTTGTTTCTGTAGAAACATCTGATGGTCAAAGGTCACAGGGTCGGAGGCCTCGCAAATTATCATCAATCATCATTTTTGCCTCATGAATGTGATATCTCAAGACCAGCTTGAGGGAATTTCAGCTGTTCAGTTGTCACTTGGACTCAAAGATGAACTGATTAGAATGCAGGGGTCAAAGGTCACAGTAACCTTATATTAAAAAATGATGTGGACAGAAACTACACTGGCTGGCAATATTAAGCAAAGCAACGTGCATGAACAAATAATGATGTGACATAGTTACTTCTTCATAGACTTCAACTAGTCCAGAACTCTGCCGCTCACATCATTTCCAGACCCCACTCCCTCCATTAATCACTTCTGTCCTTCAGCAGCCTCATTGGCTCCGCATTGTTTTCAAGATTCTGCTGCTGACCTTTAAGGCCATCTGCTCCCCACCTCTAGAACTCCTAGACATCCGTAACACTGACTCTTTTTAAACTGTCTGATTGTTTTCCATTTGGCCAACCTACGTAATTTTATTCACTGCATCTTTTTTATACAAAGTTTTAATAAAATGTATTAAAATTATGATTATTATTATTATGATTATTATTATTAATTAAAGATTCAAACAGTAACTGTCAGGAATTATACCATGATTTCCGTGTAACCGGTTCCTCTTTCCTCCCTTCTCACAACCCAAAATACATGTGACTGTGATAGACTGTGATAGAATGTGATTGTAAATGACAGCAGGACGTGTTGTTACTGACGGTGTTTTATCTGTTTATTTTGCAGGAGATGGTCGACTGGTTCAATGCTATCAGAGCAGCCAGGTTCCACTACCTGCAGGTGGCTTTTCCTGGAGCAAGCGATGAGGAGGTGAGGTTTTCATTCGTCATGAGCCACATGTTGCTGTGGAGCTCGTAGTTAGGATAGAAATTGTCAAAGACGTCTGTTGTGAGTAGTCTATGGTTCAGAGTAAAGAGAAAACTTTGCCTCCTAACTGGTTTATCTGCAATGAAGATTTGTTCATCAATGTTTTTCATAAAATCAAACTGAATTTGCTTTATTGCTGCCACCAAATATGCAGTTTATATACAAGTTTGAATTATTGCCTGAACTGACAATTGAATTCAGCTCGATATAAAGCGTGGCAGCAACAAAACTAACATTGTACTTTTACTTTGAAGACAAATTTCTAAAGAGGAAGTGATTCTATTATTGTTGTCATGGTGGTGAACAGCACCCGTGACACCCTCTGTTAGTCCGATATGGTGAAGTAAAAATAATCAGAGTTTTTAAAACTATCTGGACGTAGAGGACAAGTTAAGACTGTTTATTCAAGTTCTATAAACATTTAGCGTGTCACGTGACCAAATCACACCTAATTCGACACTGCATTTCCTTTGGCTATTTACAATACACATTCCACGTATGAAGCCGATCAACGGTTCTTTAGTTACACTTTCCTAGTTTTATGTTCTTATTTCATGTGCTTCTCTCTTGTCTTCCAGCTGGTTCCCAAACTGACCAGAAACTTCATGAGGGAAGGCTTCATGGAGAAAACAGGCCCAAAGGTTTGTGCAGTAGTTAATCTCACTGGATAATTTCTGGAAAATGAAATAATTATTAATCGCATCAATCACGTTGAGTGTCTGCGGTGTTAGCATCATGACCCCTCCCACTGAGATGGGAGCAGTCCCACTGAAGGTCACGTCAAAAGTATTTTTTTTTAATTCGATGCCTATTTAGTTGGTCGTACATTTGATCTAACCCACTTTGCATCAAACGCCACAAATGTCACACCTCCAATGAATTGATTCGCTTTGCTGTTCTCTTGTTTCTTGCCACAGCACACAGAGGGCTTCAAGAAGAGGTGGTTCACTATGGACGACAGGAGACTCATGTATTTTAAAGACCCTCTGGTAAGAAGAGACCTCGCTTTTGTCTTTGTTCTGACTCAGCGTTCACAGGTCCTCCCCCCTCACCCTGCGTTCCCTCCTCTCCCAGGATGCATATGCCCGTGGCGAGGTATTTATCGGCAGTAAAGAGAACAGCTACACCGTCATGGCCGGCTTGCCCCCGACCACGCAGGGTTACCACTGGAACCACGGCATCACCATAGTCACGCCGGACAGGAAGTTCCTGTTTGCCTGCGAGACAGAGGCCGAGCAGCGGGATTGGATAGCGGCCTTCCAGAGGGTCATCAATCGACCAATGAGGCCACAGGAATATGCAGGTGCAGAGAAAAAACAGTGTTTATTGGCTGTGTGTAACAGCAACAATTGTATCTGACCACACGGTGTTTAAAACACTTCTTAAATATTATTGAAATGAAAATCAGAAACTGCAGTTCAGACTTCAGTGTTGTGGTTTTCTCCAAACTACTGATGGATTCAAACACAAAAAGGAAACAAATAAACAACTATGGGTTTTTTTCCCAATCTGTATACAAAATTTCTTCCAGTTTCAGAGCGGGACTTAATGATTTCGCCTGTATGGGACTACACATCACTACACCTTGGTTGTGGAATTCTGACTGATTTGTTGCAAAAGCAGAGGAGACATCTGAGAGCGGGGCTGTAAGAGTGAGGAGAAGAGCCAGCGTGTAGGAAATCTGAGTGCAAGCTCACAGTTTGAGGACAAGCAGAGCGAATCTAAGAACACGCAGAATATATTTAAGTGTGAACATTAAATCAATAAGTCCGGCTCTAAAACTGTGAAACCACGCTCTTGAATATGATAGGGAAAAAAAGAAAACCCATAAAGAACTGGAGATTTTAAAAACAAAGAATCGCTGGATCTTGTTTAACTATATTTATTTGTATATATGTATATAACTATTTCTGTTCAGTTATTCTACACCAGCTGTGTGATGTGATTCGGAGACTGAGCTGCTCCTCATCATGTGAAGCCTCCGTCTGCTTCTATTCTTCTAACGATTAATATTGTCTGTTAATATGTTGAAGGGATAATTATCCTTATTGCTGCTCACACTCTTTTTATTACCTGCATTACAAATGTTGCTCATTTCACTTCTCTGTCTCTGCAGTGGAGGCCCATTTCAAGCACAAGCCTTGAAACCTGCGGGGAAACCACAACTCCAAAAAGATCCCAAATCGAGTCTTAGTCAGATCAGAGACGACCCCGGCGTGTGACCACAGACCATGACGGGGCAAGGTGGGGTGGGGGAAGTGGACGTGTAGGCATTTTGAGATGTGCAGAGATAAGAAAAGCTGATGAAGAAAAAGAAAATAAGGAGAAAACAACACTCCAGTCTATGTGTAGGAAACTCAAACTCTAAAAAGGGACTCGTGGCCCCTCATGGGGTGAAACGCTGGTGGTCTGAGGCCAAAGGGTAGGTGATGTCATCCCTATTGCGCTGAGTGACCCTGTGCTATACGTTACCATGCCAACCACCCCCCCCCATCCTCAGCCGGGTGGGCCATCCAGTCCCCTTCAACAACCTCCTTTCGTCTCGTGAATGGTGCATTCTACCTGTAATCTAATGTAATTATGTAATCTAGAGTCATTTCACTGGTTGCTTAACAGAGACCGTGTATTGTTAATTTATTGAATGTACAGTTTTGATGACAGTGGCTTACCGTGAGCGTGGAATCGTGACGTTTTCGTTGAGGACGCTGTGTGGTGGAACCTCTGGCACTGACACCCTGATAAACCTGAATCTACAAAGTGCTGTTAACAACAAATATGCATAAAAACACACACAAACTCTCAGTGATCACCGTCGCTGTTAATGTAGCTGGAGGCGACTCATCTGCTTCCAGACAGGGTTCTTTGAAAACCTCAATCCGACAGCTGTTCTCTTTTTTATTTGTACTGTTGAAGATACCGAGTCATCGTAGACCGTGATTGCTGCTTTAAAGGATTGTAATGTGATAGGATTGTAATTTATATAACACGTCTACAACTGTTGTATTTACTTTTTGCATCTTGTTTTAAAGGACACATTGTTGTGTTGATCCATATCAGTGCTGGTTTGTTTCATGATCAAAATCTTAACATCAATACAGATGAGTCTGAAATCAAGTTGCAAGTGTCTGATTTGTGTTCAAACCAATGTTGAAGACATTTCAGTCGAGTCTTCAGTCCCCTGGGATTGATGATGATTAAAGGAAAAGTTTGATTTAATAAAAGTTATGTCTGACTTACATGGTGTGGCCACCATTCCTTTTGACCCTTTTCATGGCAGCCAGTTGATGTGAAATAGTAGGTAAACACAGGTTTAGTACCCAACTAAAGCAGCACCTCCATTATGTGCTATTAAAACTCATCTTAAGACTGACGTAATATCACCTTATACCAATGTTATGGCTAACATTTCTCAACTTAATTCACTATTTCTTGGTTCTGAGTGACTTTAATTATCTGCAATGCAACAAACTCAATATAGAACCGACATGCATCACCTTGTATAGTTGTTATGACTAAGGTGTTGGCTAACAGTTGCCTGACCAATTGACAAGGGGCAAAGTTACTGTAAAAGTGACAAAGTGACTGTCTGATATTCACTTTCATTTTCCCTCACCCTTCCTGAACCCCCATAAACCCACACTAACCCTTAGCCTCTAACCTCTAACCCCCTAACCATTATGTGCAGTTAAAATAAAATTGACTAAATAAAACTAATTGCCACACTTTCTTGCTGACGTCTTATACCGTCAGAGGTGAAACGAGAATCATTTTCTCTAGAAAGTTTTTAAGTTGAAGGTGAAGGATTTATTTGATTTGCGGTAAATCCTATCAACCACTAGATGGTGACATATAACTATTGCTTATTCTGCAAACTGCAGCTGTAGGTTTTTAGTTTTGGGCTTACATGTGACAAAATGAGAACAAACAGAAAATGTGAACATTTTAAATGAAGCATGGTATCATCACAAAGTCTGAGTCCAATCAGTCCAATTGATTTCATTTCCATTCCAGGCTCACAATCCAGACAAATGCAAATATCAAGAAATAAATGAACAGCAACAGGGAGTTTAGACATCGAACTTCATATACATATTTTTACTGTGTTTATATTTCAGGCTTATATAACCACCATGTTTGATGTGTACTAACTACTATGGACCATGTTGTAATTCTATGATGTGCAAATTAACTATGAATTAATCAACAATTAGCTTAATCTTATATAGAGACTTACAAAAGAAAAAACACTCCTTGTTGTTTTCAGTTTCTGTTTATTTACAGATTTAACAAACAGGATATGCATTAACGAGGGAGCCTGAGGCATTGAAGTAAAACTATATCATGAACTCAAATAACTGCTCTTTGCACAAGATAATGACTCTGTTTAATGAGACTGAAAATGATGAAAGAAGTTGTTATGGGCTTTCAGAATCACCAGATTCCAACTCAAATATGTACCTTACTTTCTATTAACACTAAATGAGGTAAACATTTTTGGAGGCGCAGAGTTATGGAGTAAAATCTTACTTCGACACTTGGATGTGTTGTGCTGTATTTCTTAAATGACTCTATGCAGATGGTCATTACAGAGGAAGCATGTGCTCCGATATTTTCCTGTTCGTAAACGGTCGAAAGCTGTTCACTTGTTCCATATTCCAGAAGGTGGCGCTCATCAGTCACTGTAAGCAGAGACCAAAGACTGTAGAGTCTCACAGTAGGAGTGGTCTGATGGCCTACTGGTGTAAATGTCACCTGATGATCTCGCCACTCTTACATAACTTCTGCATATGCTTGCTCTGGCACTTTATGGAATTATGGGTCCATCAATGTTTCTTCTGTCTGGCTGTTGTGTTGTCGTTGGCAACCAGGTTGTCATGGTAAACTTACAGGACAGCGAGCCACTGAGCTGCAGCAGCCAGGGTGAGCTGGCACAGGAAGCCTTAAAATAGTGGGTGGGACTGCAGCTCACCCGCCACCATGTTTGTCCAGAAGGTAAAGGTCAGTGAAGCGTAAGCACATGCAGCAAACAAAAATAATGGTGAAACTGCTGCTTTACTACACAGTATTTGTCCTAAATCTTGTAATAATAACCCTGATTAAATTATTGCTTCTTTTTAAAATTCTAATCATTTGTTTTTATGAGTTATGCAGGGCTTGTTCTTTTTAACCCATTAGGCTTAAAGGCGCATTAATAAAATAGGACATGATCAATAAGTTCAAGTGTTCACAGTGCCTCTGGAAAACCAGGTCCAGCTGCCCTGTCCATCAGGCTCCACAGGCAATAATCCAACCAGAGCCAGGACTGTGAAATTAGCTAACGTCCTCCCAGGAAACCCAGCAGGAGCAGCTGCTGGACTGGAAACAAACTGAAAATAAAGTAGCAGTTGGGGACAGGTCGGCAGTGAGAGCAAGAAGTCCTGCCAGGGGAAAAAAGTACCACAGTGATATCGGATTCTTGCGTCTTCCTGTTGCTGTGACTTTGGCCCTCACATTCTGTTATTTGGACCCTGCCCATAGTGTCACCTAAATGTGTGAGACTGACAAATTACACTGTAAAATCACTGTGGTAGTTTTACCATGCTAAATAAATGACATTTAAAGGCATTTTCCCACAGAGGTAAGAAAGCACTACATCACATAACTGCAAGACGATTAACTTCTTAAAGGGGTGTGCACAGTTTTTGATTTATCTTAGAAAGCAATCAAATTCATGCAAGTGAGTGCAGTTCAATTTAATATTTCGGCATTTTGGAACATTTCTTGTTGAGCTTCATAACAAAAACCAATATCACTCTCAAATGTGTTTGCTTCCAGCAGGGGTGGCTCCAGAGGCAGGGCCAGGGTGGCCACTTGCCCCAACATAAAACAGTTTAGCCCCTGTCCTGTCACTTGACTTTTTGTTTTAAATATAATAGTCACATTCTCAATATACTTCAAATAAATATGACAATTTGTTATAATTTTAATTTTCTTTTTTGAAGAACACAATGTGCTTGAACAGTTTTCAAAATATACTCAGTGATGTGTGGCTTTGCTCAAAGCTTCACATGGATCTTGGACATATGGTTGTTTCCTGTGTGTAAATAGTGGACCCTGTTTTATTAAAATCCTAGATCTGCCACTGGTTAACAGCCAGAAAGTGATGAAGTACAAAGACTGGAACCTGCTACCATGGCACTGTCCAAACAAAGCAACTGTCCAATAAATATATTGTACCATGAATCGTAAATATGGACAAAAGCATACTAGCTATTTGTTTGCCTCTGCTTTAAATATTTATGCTCATCTTAGCTAGCAGCTGCCTGCTTATTGTAGCCATATATTGAGCATGCAGGCAAGAGAATGGTGTTTATGATATCATATAACTCTCAGTAAGACTTGTTATTTCCCCCAAATCTCATACTATTTCTTCAAGTAACACAGTTTCTCTTATCAGGCTGATGGTAGACATTTTAGTGCCTGTTTCAGTTGGGGACAATTTTTCCTTTATAGTCTACATTAAGAAGACAGGAGACATAATCTGTCCCTGAAGTTCAATAGCTTTCTTGGTGACCAAAGAATCCATCCATAGCGAACACTGTGGAACGCTCACACACCATATAAAAAGAAAAACCTTTCAATCAAAATGTAAGTCACTCGTTTCTAAATCCCACCAATATGAAGCTGAAGGTGAGGAAACTGTTCCACTCAGCAAGATTAAGTGTGGAAAAAATGCTATTAAATCTCCGACACCCTGCCTCTATAATGAGCGGCTCACAAATGAAAAGTGAGTAAAATGAATAGTGTGGAGCTTTAATGGAACATTTCAGTCTACCGTGATGGTTTAATTTCACAGAACGTTTTACTTAACAATAACAATGAAAAACTGTTTTTCTTATGATTCTTTTTCCCGAGAAAATTAAAAAATCTAATTTAATGAGCCATTCAGCTAATAGAAAGCCCTCTGAGATATCTCTTCAGGAGGTCAAAATGTTAACTAATCTCTGAAAACACCTTCACAGTTAACACACTGTGTACTTTTTGTCTATACGACCTATTTTATTGTATCCTTGTCTTCAAGGCCTGGTAAGTGTTGTGTAGATCGGTTGTTCCCAGCCAGAGGGAGGACTGTGCGGAGATGGAGCCAAGGCCAGGCTGTTGATAAGCGGTGTGGCGTAGGGACTTCTGGAGGAGTGGAAGTAGGGGTACTGATACAGATTGGCAGGGTACCCAGAGAAGGCGCTGTAGAGACTGGAGCTCTGAAGGTCAGTGTAGTCAAACTGGCTGGCGGAAGACGTGGAGGTGGTGGAGGAAGGGCAGGCGCCTGAGCTGAGGGAGGTGCACTCCGGTTGTGGCGGCGGAGGAGTGGAGGAGGAGGAGCTGCTGTAGTGACCTGGGCTCATCTGCTCTGTTTTGATCTGAGGTTTGTGGTTAGCGTCCTCACGGGGCTCATGTGTGTCACTGCTAGAAGAAGATGGTGGTATTCCAGTGGAAGTTCCACGAGAAGTTTTGGGAGTCCAGATGGGGCTGCTGTGGGAGTGAGAGTGGATGCTGGGTAGGATGAACGCTCCCGGGGGGTTGTTATGTGAATGGCTGGCGTCCATGCCTGGTAGAACAATAGAGCCGTGGCTGTTAGGAGGCAAGTACTGGTCAAACTCATGGACGTCAAATCCTTCGATGGTGCTGATGACGTCAGTGCTGAGCTCTGAGATGTCCACATTGCTGAAGTCAATGTTCTGACGGCTGGATGGAGGAGCAGAGCTGCCGCTGCCCTCCACAAGTCGATGAGCGTCGTGTTTGCTCCCCATGTGAAGGTCTGTTTTAGGGGTAGTGGGAGGAGTTGGAGGTCCATGGGACTGACCTGGTAAAAGGATCAAAAAGATAAATTGCAATACATCGCCAAATGAAACATATAAACATATCTGGATCAGATCAGTCTCTCACCTGTCCTGTCTAGATGGTAATGATGATGTGTGTCCCCTGTCCCATCCAGTCTGGCCACCCCCGGCTCTGTCTTAAACACGTCCTGCTGCTCCTGATGCTGCAGGAGCAGACCTACTCTACAGTCCCCTAGACCCGGCTTGGTGCTTTTGCGTCTGCGAGGCTGGTACTTGTAGTCCGGGTAGTCCTTCTTGTGCTGCAGCCTGAGCCTCTCTGCCTCCAAGATAAAAGGACGCTTCTCCTTTTCGGAGAGAAGCCTGAAGAGGAGAGGGGTCAGTCACTGAATTAGTAAAGTTCATTCAAATATACCTGCAAGTAATTTTTATTACTTCACTGAATAATATCACTGTGAGGATATTGTTCTCCCTCCACTAAAGAGGTTATATGTTTACCCCTATCCATTTGTTTATTGGTTTATTTGTGAACAATATTGCACAAAAAGAACTGAAATCCTTTCCCCAAAACTTGGGATAAGGATGGTGTATGAGTCAGGCAAGAACCCATTCAATTCTGGTTTGGATCCAGCTCAGGCGGACAGAACAAGGATTGGTTTTTAGTTTCTTTAAGATTGTGATGATTGCATTATAATTGTCCAAATGGATGTTGATGAAAACAATCAGGGATATTAACAGAACTGTTATAACAGAACTTAAAGGCTTGGAAACACTCCGGGTGTCTCTTTAAACTGATCCACATGCACCAACTTGAACTCAGCCTCTGGTTGAGTTCCAGTAAACTCACCGCCACAGTTTACCCAGCGTCTTACTGAGCTCCGCGTTGTGCAGGTGAGGATACTGATCCGCCAGCTTCCTCCGCGCCGCCTGCGCCCAAACCATGAACGCGTTCATCGGCCGTTTTACGTGAGGTTTGCCCTTGAGCCCTCTCTCCGCTTGGCTGGGCACCGGCACCAGAGACCAGTCGTAACCTTTCAGCACCTGCGAGACCGCGTCGCGAATACATGCGGGGAAGCGCTCGTCCTCCGCGCGGCTGCCGCTGCAGCTCTCCGGCTTGTGCGTAATTCCTGACGGAGTCCCTCGCTTGTCCTGCCCCGCAGAAGAAGCCAAAGACTCAGAGTCCGAACCATGCGGGGTCGTGGAGCTGTCACTGTCCGCCGGGCTGAATGAATGCTCCAAAGACTTGTTCTCTTCTGTCATGTTTGCCCAGCAAAAAAGTTTATCTACAAGAATTCGTCAATTAAGTTCCCGCAGCCTTCTCCGTGCGTAAAGACGCGCAGTAGGAACACCTTCTCACGTAAAGTAAAATCGTTTTTTGTCTTGAACTTTCCATTCCATTGCACACGACAAGAGCAGAGTTTGACGAACACCTATTTTCTGCATTTTTGCTCTATAACACTGTTTGGTACTTGCAGCTCTCCACCCCTGCTGTCCTATTGGCTTTTGTGAAGTTGTAGAGTTCCTCCCAGTTTGGACAGAAGCAGGAGGAGGCCGAGAAATATAAGTTATCAATACTGTGTTTAGAAAAATTACTATAAGAGTCTTTTCAGAGTCTGTTTGATGGTGCAACACCTGCATTTGAATTGTTCAAGTTCAGAGGCACGAAGTTATGAACTTACAGAAAGATTTCAAATACATATTAAGGACAAATTTATTTTTCACTACATTTAACTGTATCTATGTACTCACGAAATCTCTCTCTCTATATATAACATATACACACACAATAACCTAAA